ATTCAAAATAACACAAACAATTCCAAAAAGATAACTCAATAATCAACCATAATTAATCAAACATCATCAAGTACGTAGGGTTCGACATCCCCGGAACTAGAAATAAAAACTAGCCTAACATGCTAAATAAAAATAAAAAGATAAAAGAGAGAGATTAATTATCTCCCTCGTGTACGGGTGCGGTCTCCCTCCGCAATTCGTCGGGCTCCCAGCGTCTCTGTCCGCTTTTTCTCCTGTTGCTGCCCGCGTATCTCTCTTTCTCTTATGTGTGGCGGCTCCCAAAACTTTTCTTTATGTTTTCTGTGGCGGCTGTCCTAGGCTTGCGTCAAAAGTAAAATTCTCTCCCTCCTTTTATTTGCGTGAGTGATATGTTTTTTTTTCACCAATTAATTCCTCCCCCTCTAAATGTATTGTCTCCAAATTACATCATTGGTTCGGTACATGTCCAAGCATTGGTGGACTTTTCAAATCTGTTACTTCCTCCTCTGTATGCGTGCTTCTTTATTTGTGGATCCAAATCACCAAATCAACCCAAATAATTTAGAGGAAATTGCATGCCATACTGTCATGCTTAAAATATTTATCACTTTTGCACCTCTTTTATTTTTTTTTTTTAAAATCACCTAAATCACATAAAAGATTTTCAATTATGCCTAAAAACCTTATTAACCGTTATTAACATTTTTAATAATGGTAATGATATACTTAAGTCAAATTAAATATCCACTTACCAAAAAAAGTGGAACTAAAAGGTAAAGGTAGTCATCCCCACCAACACACGTATCCCTTCATCTTCTCAAACCGCTCAACAATTTTGCCGATCTCAAAATTCCCTTCAATGGCAAAAACCAAAATCCCTCCTCCTCCTCAACGAAAAATCCGGCGGATGGTGGCGACGTTTCACCGGTTATTAGATCTAGTGCCCGACTTCGTAAAATTCTCCCGGTTCCAGACGACTTCCAGTCCGAAAATGAGAAAACCTACTGAATTTCGATCGCCCTCCGCCCGCGAACATCCACCCCCGACGCGACCCTCCTCCGACGATTCCTAGTTCGCGCAGCACCAACGAGTTTACCCTCCTGCTTGAGTCGATGACAAGAAGAATCCGTCTTGTATTCCCTATAATTTGACCCTTTTTTTCTTTCCTTTTTTTTTGTATGATTTGATTATAATTCGAAGGTATTTTTACAAAACCGAGTTTGGTATATGTTGGGTATATCCGAGTATATCCGAAGTAATTTTTCTCTGGTATCTGTTTTAATGGTTCCTTTTTTTTCTTGTGTTATATGTTGGGTATATCCGAGTATATCCGAAGTAACTTTTTCTCGGGTTATCTGATGGGTATATCCGAGTTAACTTTTCTCTCTATCCGAAGTATCTTTTCTCTTTCTATGATATACACTTTTGTCACTGACTTTCTGCACCTGTTACACATTTTTAGTATATTTGAAGTATATTTTTGGTGTATGTTCGGCGGAAATTTCCCCCCCAAATTTCAGAATTTTTATATACTTTTATGTATAAAAATAAAAATATATATATATATATATATATATTATTTTTTTTGTGGAAGATCGTTTTTTATTAAACATATACTGAATATGTACTAGCATAAACTCAAAATATAACATAACATAAACTCAAAATATAACACCTGGCGGTTACGTGACTTATGATATGGCAACATACACTTAATATATACTAACATAAACCCAAAATATACTACCTGACGGCTGTTTGAACTACAATGTACAAGTTGCGTGAATTAAGGAAGTAATAAATAAATCAGTTATTATTATTATTATTATTATTATTTTCAAATCGCGGATTTCACGCACGTACAAGATAACTGATTAGATGAATCCCTTAAATAAAATAGTTGGTTTAGGTATTGTTGAAAA